TATTGGGTTTAAGTGAGCATGTAAATATTAGGAATATTTAAAATCTCCTTCCAGGCACAAAAGGACAGAGTCCTGATATGTTTAAGAAGAGACAGATTCTTCCAGTTACCTATAGAAAAACAATTAACAAGGAAATTATGGCAGAGGATAAAATGTGCTACATTAACGTCAACGTGAGGCGGTTTAGCTTGCCACCTCTTCTCAGTTACCATCTCTTTAAATGTGGAATATGAGCATTGGAAAGAACATCTGACCACCTTATTAACACTTTCTAATTCTACAATGAAGGCAGGGCATATAGATAGTTGATCACATTAATTAAAACCTTTTTTTTCAATGGGAAAAAATACATTTAACAACAAATTCAACAAATAACACACTAGGGAAAACAAGCCTTTTTCCAAACATATTTTACAGAAACAAGTGCAACATTAAGTATATTTTATAAAATTATCTTAAAATTATACTGAATAAATGTCCCAAATTATTGTTGACCTATTTTTATTCAAATATGTTTATGCTTTAAATGAAACACAGAGATTTTAATTGGTTTTATAATCAAAACTATTTTTGTAGGCATTTATTAACTTATGAAAATTCACTTGCTATAAATGGAGCCTTAATATAAAATGATTTTTGGTTCTTTTGTACAATTTTTAAAACAATTTCTCCAGTAGAATTACGTGAAATTTCACCTATCTTAAAGCAAATTAGAGGGGCTTATCAAAGATCTTTCAGTTTCTATACTGATGAAGTAAATTTTAATATGGTGGTTCTCAAACTGGGCTCCCTGTACCAGAAGCATCTGCATCACCTGGGAACTGATTAGAAATGCATGTGATCAAGCCAGGTCCCAGACCCTCTGGATGAGAAATTCTGGGGTTGACCCCAGCAGTCTGTACCAACAAGCCCTCCAGATCATTTTCCTGCTGCTGAAGTTGAAGAACCATTGCCATAACGATTGCCTGGTCTAAGGCCTTGACAATGAGACTGGAGCATGTTTGGCAGTGAGCTTTGAGAAGCTCCTAGTAAAACCAGTGCTGACCTTCTAACTCAGTACTCAATCACCATACTCCAGTTTATTTTAAATAGCTGAAAGTCACCAATTATTCAAAACAGTGCCTACTATGTAACCAGTTTCAAAAGACTGTGTAAAGAATAAATGAGGATATTTGTAAAGTGCTTAAGTGCTTATGTATGTGTGCTAAATGTGCTATGCTTCACACATAGGGGACATTATTTTAATGTGGATAATTGGTATTCAAATTATTACTCTTAATTCACGTTCTCTTTTCTCATAGTAAAATAAACAAAAACAATACATTCTACTCATTGAACATTTATAGACATTTAAACCCAAGGTGAACAATAGAGGTCATTTGGTTTAAACTCCTTGTTTTACTGGTGAGAAAACTGATGACCAGAGAGGCCAAGCGACAGGTCCACAGTCACATAGTGAATAATGGACAAAGATTAGAAACCACAGTTTTCAATTGCTGGACTACTGTCTTGCAAAGGAAGACTTTCATGCTATACTCATTATGACAATACTTACTATGAAATTTTCTCCGTTGGCCTTACTAATTATTATCCATTGCTAACTTTTCCATCTCTACTCCCTCACATATAAACTAACACTATTATTCAAAATTATAAAACTATTTATTAGGCTTAAAGCTTTCTAGATGTACATAAGTAGAAAATCAAGTAAAATATACATGCAAAAAATACACATTTCTACAATGTTCAGTGAAATCTTGATGCTGAATATCAGATATGTATCAGATGCTACATATGTACAAATTCAAGCTTCCTGTGTATATGTGGTCATTTTATTTTGTGCTGTGGACCAGTAAATATAGATGCAAGAAACAAACCTTCAACATGTCATTTTATTCTGAAAAACTGTCTTTGGATTATCTTAGCAATCATGATGTTCTTTAGAATGTCACTCTCACTAAACCATACAGCAGCATGTGGAAGAAAAGTTCATATAGAAGGAGAAGGAGGGACTTACCTATGTATAAGAATAAAAAAAGATCTATTTTAATTTTAAAAGCCTCCAGTGACATTATTGTTCATTATTCTCTTTTTCTTTTATACTACCTCAAATATTCCTTGATAAAACAATTACAGAAAACATAATTTGAAGGAGCACAGTATAAAAATTCAAGTCCTTAAACGTCCAATTATAGCATTGTACAAATCTGAATGTATGTATGTTCTCTATTGTCTGGTCACGTCACACATTCAAAGCTGATTAGCAGCAGCAATGTTTTTCGGCCCAATGTCATCCGTCGATTTAGCATTCTACTCCTTCCAGAAACCTAGTCATCCCCAAACTGTAATCTTTATATAGTATATGCTACATTACAGGCCATAAAACTGTGCGGTATCCATTTATTAGTATGAACAGTTAATGACACATTATTGAATGCTCCTCCTTAACTGGTTCATATAAAGCTTTAACGCAAGGAAGTAGAGGATCTGTGGTGTACACAGAAAAATTATTATGTTTCAAGCTGGGCACTGAATTAAAATCTTATCCTAAGTCATGCATCATTAGACAAAAAGCCTGAGGAACTGAAAGAACCATGTAAACATTTTCTACTTTCAAAATGCTTAAAGAAGTTTTAGATTAATGGGATTTGATGCTTTAAATGATGTCAAAGATGGGATATAAGTGCCTTATTAATTTCATTGACTTACTGCCAAATATTAAAGGCAATTCATGATTACTAATTTAATCTTTTCTGATTATGAAAATCCATTACAGCAAGAAAAATATAAAGTTCAGGAAAGTAGAAACAATTTATTTAAAATATTAGAATACATTTATGCAAACAGAATATTTGGATTTAGGCTTAAAATTCCTCTGAGACCAGGAGCAGTGGATCATGCCTATAATCCTAGCACTTTGGGAGGCTGAAGTGGGTGGATGACCTGAGATCAGGAGCTTGAGACCAGGCTGGCCAAAATGGTGAAAGCCTGTCTCCAGTAAAATACAAAAATTAGCCAGATGTGGTGGTACCTGCCTGTAATCCCCGCTACTTGGATGGCTGAGGCAGGAAGATTGCTTGAACCCAGGGGGTGGGGGTAGCAATGAGTGGAGATCACAACACTGCACTCCAGCCTGGGTGACTGAGCCAGACTCTGGCTCAAAAAAAAAAAAAAAAAAAATTCCTCTGGAACGATTTGTTACACTATTATAAATATTTACGTGTATTAATATTTAAACCATTGTTTCATCCTTACATTATAGAGATTATGTTTTTCATTTTTTAAAACTCTTATTATTGTCAATCACAATCCTAATATATGATGCAGTATAAACCTGAAACTATTTATTTAATCTTACTACACTAATCAGCTAACAAGATCTCTGTCTTCTCAGATCTTGGAGCCTGGGAAAACCCAGTTACTAATTCCCTAATATCCCTTCCCAAAATTCTCTGGTTAGCTGACATGTTAATAAGATTCCAAGAATGATTCTTAAACAAGCAAAATCACCACGAAAAATGATTATGCTGAAAGTAAAAACTGCAGTGTTTTTCCTTCTCCCATAATTTATTTTCAATTAAAATAAATTCTGTCCTTGAGTGTGTATACATAACTCTTTGGTCAGGCTGTGTTCCCCAATCATCAAATATAAATATTGAAAGCCCTAAAGATTGTTCTTAAACCCCCAATTTGAATTACCATTGCCAGCATACCAAATACCCTAGGGTGGGTGTATTAAAAGCTCTAAAAAGACTCTGCTTTTCCTTTCTAGACAAATGGACATCTTTTATTCAGGTTCCCAAAACAAAATCCTTATTCAGCTTACCCTCATTTCTTTGAGGCTGTGTCTTTTCTTTCTAAATTCTAGCAGCCTTAATGTCCCTAATGTGGCCTCTTCTTGCTCCATCCTCATCTCATTGTTGAATCTTTTATTCTTTCACTACTTTACTCCTGCTTCCTGCACCTCTTCAGCTCCCAGCCATCTGAGACCTTCAGTGCTTTGTGGGATCACCCCTTATACTCCATCACACCAGAGACAATGTCTTCTCTTCTATCAAGTTCATTATTTCCTTCCAAACAGAAATTTACCTGACCCACCCCCACTTCCAGTTTCATATGACGGCATCTCTCTGTTTATATCTCATAGCATCACAACCTCTCCATTGCAACTGTTATTATGCATGCCACTGCATATTTAACAGTGCCATTTAAAAAATTATCTATCACTTAGCACTACTAAAGTTAGAGTTCAGGTTTTTTCCATTAATCTCAGGCATCTATATGCCTGCCAAAAAAATAGACACATATACTCTACCTATTGACTGAATGACAATAAATGAATGACTGTCCAAATACACACATAAACACTGGCTGGCAACCAGAGGATTGAACAGATGAGAAAGCACAGAACATCTCTTTGTGAACTCTGCCAGCCATTAGTATTTATGCTGGCCCAGGGTCCTATAGAATTTTTGTGTTCCAAAACTTTTATAAAACACTGTGGTGGCCTTGTGCGGTGGCTCACACCTGTAATCCTAACACTTTGGGAGGCAGAGGTGTGTGGATCACAAGGTCAGGAGTTTGAGACCATCCTGACCAACATGGTAAAACCCTGTCTTTACTAAAAATACAAAAATTAGCTGGGTGTGGCAGCGCATGCTTGTAATCCCAGTTACTCGGGAGGCTGAGGCAGGGAAATCACTTGAACCCAGGAGGTGGATGTTGCAGTGAGCTGAGATTATGCCACTGCACTCTAGCCTGGCGACAGAGCTATACTTAGTCTCAAAAAAAAAACCACAAAACACTTTGGTACACATACATACACATATGTGTTTGTATGAGCATGCCAACATAAAGATAAATCACTGTGGTACACACACACACACACACACACACACACACACACACTTGCAGGCACATGTCAACATAAAGATATCAGTGTTTTTGTTGGTTAAGAGTGCTCTACTCAGCAGTGATAAATCAAGTTTCTGGTGGTGGTTGTTTTTAATAACTCACATTATTCAAAATCCCTGAGAGCTAAAGAACTATTTTACATCATAATCCTGCAGTCCCAAGTTAGGCAGGATTAGCGAGGTCCCAAGATGGTGAAGGAAACTGATGAAAACTCTAGGTCCATGCATGCAGACAACAGATTTCTGATAAGTCATATTTTCCTTCTGGCAGTCTTTCAAGAGATGATGAAAAGAAGTAACAAGTCTCAATTAAAATGAAATGATGACTGTTTCCCTGTAAGTCTTAACATGTTTTTTTTTTTTTTACTATTCTTTTTATGCAGTATGATTTTTAAAAAAGAAATAGAAACAGGTTTTTCGAGAAGAAAACTGACTTTGCACTGGCTATGTAGCCTCAGACATTCTCTCCAGTCCTTAGTTTCTCCACATGAAAAATAGAGGTGATGCTGGCTATCTACACTGATGAATTGAGGAGGGAGGTTTGGAAAACATGCAGCCGTGACTGGCCACCGGGTGTGTGCCTGCTTCTCCTGTTTTACCTGCTTCCCGGGAACACTGCCCGGTTCATGTTGATAGCCTCCAGTTTATCCAGGTATCTGTGTGATGTAATTATTCAAACAGCATTAACTTGGGAAATTAAAAATAACACTGAAATAGAGAGAGGGCATTCTTCTTTTTCCTTTTCTTTATAAGAACAAAGCAACCTAATATTTGTATTTGAAACATATACAAAAATACATATTCGAGGGTAAAACCCATCTTGGTTATCATATTAGGCAGTGCTTTCATCAGAAAAAATTTGTTTTTGAACATGAAGAAAATTAATATAATGACTTTCTGAGATTCTTTCTTAGACACACGCACACACATGCGCACACACACACACACACACACACAGCATTACCTCATTTTCACCTCACTATTTCCCCTCTCATCAGAAACACACCCTTTATTTCTATGCTTCCTCCGAAGTGGAGAATGCAGTTACTCTCAAAACCTCTAAGGAATTTACTAGTATTAAAGCTCCAGTTAATTCTCTCCAGTGTTTAGTCACAGGATTTTTCATTCTGTCCAAAGCTGATTGAAGGTCTTGTAACATGTCTCTGTAGTTATTTCCATAGTGAGCACTCCAGGTATAAAGAAAATCATAGGCGGGTTTCCACATCATCTATAAAGAAAAAAAATAGACTGGAGTAGTGTGGAAGTTGAGATGAGAGGAAAATAGATTTTTTTAAAAAAAGATGTAAAAAGCCACTTAAGACTTAAAAGAAAATGAAATACCAATTATACATGGACTTATTTGATGTCATAGAAAATATGGTTTAATAACTACCAAGTTTCCTGTTACATCCCTGTGTTTTTAAAACTAGAGATTTTTAAAATAATAACTACAAGTAGGGGCTTATTTCCCTTGATTCATCGTCTATACATTGCTGTTGCCTTAATGTGAATATAAAATTCCTTGCACAATTTGTGGATGATAATAAATATTAATGAGATTATCTTTTTACTATTTGAGAGACTTTTAAGGTTAAAGTAATAATTTTTATTGTTACACCTCTCTGTGGTGAGTTTTATGACACCAAATATCATACAAGGAGCTAGACAGCATATTCAACATTTTAAATCATTTTACTTGATCAAGTCTATAAACAAGCAAAAGTGTAGCTTCATAATCAAGTCAAAATGAAAGCAAAATATAGCTCTCTAATTTAAAATATTTCTTTAATTATACATTTTATAACCTAAAGAAAAACCAATATTCAATGCTGCTTCTTTTTGCTGTTCCTAAGCACCTACCCATACCAATGATGTCATTGTTTCCATAGAAATAAAGTACGTCAAAGAGAAACTTCACATACAAGCATGTATGTAATGGTAACCAAGGTAACCAGGCTAGGGAGAGAATAGAGACAAAGGCAGACCGAACAAGACGAATTGTAGAGTACACACACACACACACTTCACACACACAACAGCTTAAAATAAATTTTCTCTTTGAAAACAACAAAATGAATCCTGTATTTATAATTGGAATATTTGAAAAATAAATTTTATTATTCAATTATTTTGGAGGGGTTCGCTGAACTAATTTGGTTGTGAGTCTATCAGTTGCAAAATGTAGGAACATAGACTCTGAGCTAAACATTGTGCAGAATTGCCCTTTTAAAGCAGAACCTCCATCACCGTTCAGTAATATCACATGAACTAATGCCTTGGCATATAATTTTCACCATCCTCCAATATCCTCATATAGTCTAATTTTAAAGTTAAAAGTCTTAAAGACCTAAATAAGGAGTTCCATTATGTTTTCTTTCAATCCACATAAAAGGCTCTAAGGATAATTTGATATTATTTGTCCAAATTGGCATTCCTGGGAAGCCATAAACACCTGTTTTCTTGTCTCTCTTGACAAAGCTTAAATTTTGTAAGGTAGAGAATAAAAGACAATTATCAAAGTTATACCATATCAGTGTATGATGCAGTAGCAAAAATCACCTCAGATATTTGTATATAAGTTTTACCCTCACCAACTGTACCAATAATTTTATCTTCTATGATTGATAGAATGTTCTATCTAAGGATAGAACTTATCCTCTCATCTATATTTCTGAAGATTTTCATTGAAACCAAACTTTTCAAGTACAATTGCTACTACTTTCTCGACAATGGAATATCAGTTGAGATATAATAATAGAGCCTTTCTGTCAAAGTTAATCTTGGTTGTCACTGCTCAATTGCAAAGAATCACTAAACAAATAGATTATTCTGTAGTGAGTATATTCTGTCTGTAAAATCTCTGAGTCAAAGATTCAACCTTGAATTCACTTAAAAGTCCCTGATGCTCAACTAACTGGTTCAAGTTGTCACGTATTTTTTAAAATAATGGTGTTTATAGCTAAAGGCTTCTAAGACTGTTCTAAGTCTCTTAGTGACCAAGTCTAATAAATGATATATTTGCAGATATTTTATGATAAACAACAACTTAAACATTTCTGTAAAAAGGGGATGGCATAGAATAGCATAAAGCATCACAGAAAACAGACGTCTCAACAATTATAAATGGGTAGTTTTAGGATTGTCCACTACCCTACAGATTCAAGTACTTACATAGACAGAAACAGCCCAAATGGTCCCACTTACTTTCATGGGTAGAAAAGCTCTGTATCTATCCCCTGTCTTGCTGTAGCACTGTGAATTGCTATGTATAGAAAAACCCTTAGGCACACTCAATGAAGAAGCAGCTTCTCCATGCTGTTGAGGGCAGGAAATACCCCAGGTGATGCAAAAAATAGAAACTACAGATTCAGGAAAGGTCTGATGACACATCTACTCACATACTTATGCAGAGCACCACACGACGTCCTCACATTAAGCAATTTGTACTAACAACAGAGTAGTGCCAACAGCTTTTTCAAATCAGAGAAATTTGGGTACATTACTGAATTATAGGCCCTAATTAAAACTTTTGAATGTGTAAAGACTTTCCAAGAATCCCCTGAATTTGTCTGAAATGCAAGCGGGAATATTGCCCTAAACCGATTTGAGATTCCCTAGAGTGTAAACCATAATCTGGCTAGAAGCGGGTACAAGAGCACTGGGCTGAAAACAATAAGGTGTTGGTTAACTAAAATATAAGCATATTTTGCATTCCATTTTTCTTCCTCATTGCAGCAAATTAAACCCAAATATTCATTTGGTACAAAATTTCATCTTCTATGTATAAAATCATTGGGAGCTCTCAACAACGATGATAAAGAAACACTTTTATAACACAAATACAAGGAAATATTCGATATTATCATTGTTCATTAACTAATTATTTCACTTATCAAATCAAGGTTTATTGAGTACCTTCTACTACAATAAATTTTGTTACAGTAAGAAATGAAATGATGAATATTGCATGACTCTTGCTTTTAGAATTTTCTAGCATAGGAAGGAGATAAATATTTGCACAAACACTGGCAAAATGGGTAAAATAGATAGGATGTGATCATAACAGAAAAACTCAAAAATTACTTGTATATTTTAAATCCATGTGAGGAAAAATGATTGTTCCACTAACTAAGAGGCATGATGCCATAATGGAAAGAAACATAGGTTTGGGTGTCAGAGTCCTGTTGTTTACATCTGAGCTCCGTTGCCTATTTGAGAGGTCAGTTTGATAAACTAATCAAGTTATCCCAGCTTTGAATTTTTTTAATCTATGAAATGTCGATAATGATTCCCGAGTTTTATGTTCAAAGTACCTCATGAAGTACTGGCATATAGTTTGCATTTAATGCTTTTTAATAGGACAGGAATGAAAGTACTTATTTTTTGGGCAAGGGCAAGCTAAGGAGCTTATTTTCTGCCCTACTAAGCATCAAGCAAAAGGGAGGGTATCTGATAAAAAATTAAAATTGGAATGGTGAGATGACCTTGAGGGGACAGAAAAGGGTTTAACATCACTTGTTCTACAGGGATGGTGAAACACATGCGTAGAAAAAAATGCCAAGAAAAAGAATAAAGGGATGCAAAAGTTAATTCTCAACTAAGTCAATGATTAGCGGCTACAAGAAAGAAATAGAAGCAATCAAAGTATGGGGAGAAGCTAGAGTCAAAGAGAAAGAGAGTGAATCACATGCTTCCTCTTGCAAAAGCCAAGAAGTATAATAACATCCCAAGAAGGACATGCATTGACTTGCTGGTGCCAGCTCACACAAGCTCCCTCATATCCTCCCAACTCCATGTCGAGTGACATCACAACGGTAGGTTAAAATGATGTATGATCAGAATATTTACACTAAGAAAATTAACAAAAGCTGTAAGTTAGGGTATTTCCCTTTGCAGGGTGGGTTAACATATGCCAGGGTGACACTGAGGACTCCCCTTTTCTGTTACCTCCACTGCTACCTGTAACATCAACAAGGTGGGAACATAAATAAAAACTTGGCAAATCCAGGATTTTGGAAATTAGCAGGCCTTTGGTAACTTGGAGAAGGCAGTTTAAAGGGACTAGTAGGGCGCATACAACAGGTCTGAGCAGGTATAAAAGAAATGGAAGACACAAAACAAATGGGTGACATCTGAAATTTAAGTGTCAAAGGAAGAGAGAGAGAAACAGAACAAGCAGCAGTAGAAAATAGAGGTATTTAAGAAAACTTTTTAAAGTCTTTAAAATGTAATCTTTTATGATGGTAAGGAGATTTGGGTTTGAATCTTAACTTTGCCATATGAAGAATTTGAGGTTAATGAGAATTAAAGAGGTAGCATATGTAAAGCACCCAAGAAGAAAGGTTAACTTTCTTGGCAGAAACATAAATACAAAAGGATGTTAAAATCATTATGAAGTTAGGGCACAAAATTAGAGGGGCAAGTATCGTGAGAAATTGGGAAGAAATGGGGACAAAAGCACATGTCAAGAGTTACGTACTTAATACACTGATAAAAATATTAAATTTGCGGAACTATGTTTTCCCTTAATAAGTAAATCTCTGCCAGGTGATTCTATTTGAGCTTTGCTATAACGAAATCTAATTAATCGGCTGGGTTTCATCAATAGACTAAATAGGATAATCAGTTGTTTGTTTGTCCTTTGTGGAACAGATATAGAAACATTTGGACACAAGTTCTAAAGATGTTTTTTTCTCTGCATTTCTTATTATCTCATTTCATTCTAGTTTTCTGACAAAGTAAATATATGTTATCCAAGGTAGAGACATAAGAGGTAATTTGTGTACATTATTATGCCCTAAAATACCTACCCAGTAAGGTCACATAAGTTTCTAAATTTTGTAATAAGTTACAAAGAAAATGAAGTCATCTTTTCTGGAAATGTTTGAAGAAATAAAATGGGTAGAATAAATAATTTTCTTTCCAGGCTGACCTAAGTTTAATCCTCCAAAGGCTAGAAGGAGTTGCAGACAGTCAAGATCTCAAACAGCCAGATTTATGTTGTATCTATTCTGCGTTTTAAAAATAGTTCTTCCTCTCTTGCTCAATGTTACGATTAAGAAAAGATATGCAGAAACTCTGCACTTGTGTTTCAAAAAATCCAAAGGAAAGCATGCTCCTGAGGGTTTGTTTTTCAGTTGTTAAATTATTCTTAACCTCATAAATTCTCTCAGCCTTTTCGTTTCTATCACAAATATTTAATACATAGGCTGCATTCTTACGTCTCTA